GTGTGTGTGTGTGTGTGTGTGTGTGTGTGTGTGTGTGTGTGTGTGTGACTCAGGCTGGGCAGGGAGCCATGGGCGGAGTCAGGGTCTTTGATGTCTTGGGTAAGTTTTTATTCATAAGAGACTCTGCCCCTAATCTGTTTTACACTGTGCCACACATAAAACTGATATTGGTAATATATTCATATATTATATGAACAATGGTTAGACACTAGGGACCAACTTGACGCTTTAGACTCTACCCTGCCTTGCTAAAAGGCAAGGGGATTCAATACATCAACATGTCTGTGACCTATTTGGGACACTCTAATTTAAGGAAGATTTGGTTTGTACTATTTTCATTTCTACTTCCCTTTGTGTGGGTGGTGCTGTTAGGGATAAGACAATGAAAAGTATCCTCATATTTCATAAGGCTTGAGAGCTATATAGAAGGAAGCAGAAAACAATTTTTAAAAGGCTATAGGTAGTGCTTAATCGGATTAATCTTTTGAGAGAATGAGGTGGAATCCTAACCTCAAATTCTTCCCTTATTCTAGTTAATTTTTTTTTTAAATAGGAAACTCGCATTATTTACCAGTTTCATTATAAGAACTGGCCAGACCATGATGTGCCTTCATCTATAGACCCTATTCTTCAGCTCATCTGGGATTTGCGTTGTTACCAAGAAGATGATTGTGTTCCTATATGCGTTCATTGCAGGTAAGACGCTGTGAATGAACCTTCTACAAAGATCAAAAACAACAACAGCAACAACAAAACCAGAAACAAATGAGGGTCTGACTAGGATTCAATTCAGAGAGAAAGTCAATAGTTGAAACAATCTATTATAAATCCGACTGGTACATTAAACTAATATCTTTAATTTTTATTAATTTTTATTGTGTGTTTGTATGCACATATGTGCACCCATGTGCATGTGTCACAGCTTATATATGGAGATACAAACCAACCTTGGGGATGTTGTCTCCTTCTACCTTGTGGGTTCTGGGGCTTGAACTCGGATCTTTAGGTAAAGGCATCAAGAGCTATTACTCACCGAGACGTTTGCTGGATCTAAACTTGCTCTTAAGTTACTTATGAGCATTGGTTTTGGGAATTCTTGTGAGATGCTGCCAATATGTGCCTGAGGTCCACTGTGACATGACAAAACATGTTCTGGGACATGGTAGGATTTGAAGTTTCGTTTTCTCCCTCCTCACATCTGCAATGGAATTTCGCAGCCATTGTCCGTTATCTCTGTCAGCAAGTGCACATGCTATGATCTTCCATTTCAGTGCCGGCTGTGGAAGGACAGGTGTCATTTGTGCTGTTGATTATACATGGATGTTGCTGAAAGATGGGGTGAGTTTCCCAGCAAGCACTTCCTATTTTCTTGCTGCATGCATCTGGGTTGCAGAAGTTCCACTCCTCAGAACATCTTCACAACTCATCTTTTCTTATGAAGTGGGTCACTTGTAAATCTACTCTGTCAAATAATTGAATTAGCTCCTCAGTTGGTGGTTCTTAAAGTGTGGTCCCAGGGGGAAGGGATATAGCTCAATAATAGTGTACTTGTCTTGTGACAGGAGGCCACATGTTTGATCCCCACATGACAAAGTATGATTCTCTAGGGTCAATATTATCTGAGAATGTGTTAAAAATATAAATAAAAGTCCTGCCCTACCGATGAATCTAGAAAGTTTGGGAGATGTGAGCCAGCAAACTCTCCGGGTGAGTCTGGGAAATGCTAATGTTTGAGAACTATTGCCCTGAATTGTGTATTTCCCCTTCCTTTATTCAAATTGCTTTAGCAGATGGATTCAACTTACCAAAATCAAGCTTTGTGCTATTGTCTTGAAATCTCTCTCTCTCTCTCTCTCTCTCTCTCTCTCTCTCTCTCTCTCTCTGTGTGTGTGTGTGTGTGTGTGTGTGTGCATTGGTGTGTGTGTGTAGGGTGGATGTGTGGATGTGTGGGTGTGCACATGGAGGACAGAGATTCATATTAGGGTCTCCCTCAATTATCTTCTATTGGATTTTTTGAGACAGGGTCTCTACTGAATCTTGACTTGGATAGGCTTGCTGGCCCATGAGCTCCAGGGACCCACTTGTGTCTCTGAGTACTGGGGGTTCAAACATGCCTGGCTTTTATGTAGGTGCTGGGGATCTGAACTTAGGTCCTTGTGCTTATATGGCATGCCCTTTACCAACTGATATATCTCCCTAGTGCGCTCTCTCTCTCTCTCTATATATATATACACACACACACACATACACACACACACACACATACACACACACACACATATACACACACACACACGTACACATGTCAGGACCTCTCTGGGGGGTGTCTAATGACTCACAGGGATCACCTAAAATCATAAGAAAACCAGATATTATAATTGATAATAGCAAAATTACAGTTATGAAGTAGCAATGAAAATTATTTTATGGTTGGGGTCACCACAACATGAGGAACTGTATTAAAGGGTCACAGCATTAGGAAAGTTGAGAATCACTGCTCTAAATCATGGCAAAAATGATAACTGTACTGGTTTTCCAAATTCCTTCTTGGGGCTGGAGATATGGCTCAGAGGTTAAGAGCACTTGCTGCCCTTGCAGACATTTGGTTCCCAGCACCCATATATCAGTTTACAGCCATCAATGACTCTGGGTACGAGGGATCCAGTGCCCCCTTCTACCCTTTATATAAACATTCACATACATAAAATAAAACACATATTTTGTAGAGCATTCTTGGGGCTAGGAATACAGTTCAGTTGGTAGAATAGTTAGAAAACAATGTACCAAGCTTTATGTTTGATCTGTCTGTGTAAATCTGGAAAGTGGGAATGGTGATGGATGCCTGCAGTCCTAGCCCTTGGTAGGTGGAGGAAATTGAAAGTCATCCTTGGCTACATCACAGGTAAGGCTAGCTTGGTCTATGTGAAATGCTGTCAGAAAGAAAGAAATACAGAGAGAGAGGGAAGGAGAGAGGGAGGAAAACACTTTTCTTGTGTTATTCTATGTTAGAAGAGTAGATATCCTAGGAGCACAAGACTAGGAGAAAGTGGCATGATTTGTTAGCACAAAGATAAAATAAAATATTTTTCTCTTTGATTTGACAGATAATTCCTAAGAACTTCAGTGTTTTTAATTTGATTCAAGAAATGCGAACTCAGAGGCCTTCGCTAGTTCAAACTCAGGTACAGACTGTGGTGAACGGATGACAGTGAGTGTCTGAGTCTTGCTGTGTGTCTGTGTTTATGGTGAGACCTCCGAAAATGGCTAAGTGTACAGGAGCAAGACAACTTTACTATGTTTTTCTCTAACTCTGAAATTCCCAGTGTTTTCCTGTAGCCCTGCTCCTGGTCAGATTATTTTCAGCCCTCATAGTTTACTGTCTGTAACACTATTTCTTGCTTACAAAGGAAACTGAAAAAACAAACAAACAATGAATTTGACTCATTAGAAACAACTAGCTAATGTCATAAGTTAACTTGAAATTTTGTAGCTACAAATGCTTCTCTGAAGCCAGGGAAAATCAGGGAGCTGTCATTTCTACTTCAAGAGGTGATTTAATTTCTGTTAGAAAGCCATGAAAACTGAAGTCAGAACAAGCATATGCCTCATACAGAGGTTGCTACTGTCACCATTTCCCGACAGTTCCCTTGTCTACAGACACACTCTAAAAACAGAACTACAACGAGCTGGGAGTATGTCCCTACCACCTTTGAACCCACCTTGGATTGACCACACTTGTTCATTGCACTAGGAATATTCTTCCTTTTAATTCTAAGCCCAAATCTCTCATTGCTTATAGTATCAGTTTCACACATGTTTATACAGCAGTGATTTCCCTTAAATGTATACATTTCTGCATCTTTAAGATGAAACTTAATTTATCCACTCATTCATTCAGTTTTTATTGATGTTTATTTTGTGGAAGACATTTTGTGTATTTTTTTTTTTTTTTTTAGGAATTATACTTAAGTAGAAAGATCCTGAAGTACTTCAGGTCCCTTATAAACAAACTTGCACATAAGTTTAGAGATAAAGCAGCTCACAGAGGCAGTTTTAATATTTTAATGTTCAAGTTGTGAATGAAGGGAAAAACTGAAGCGCTACTAATACAAAAGCATCTGCTTGGCCCACACAGGTTTTCCACAAATAGGCTGTGGAAAAAGTAATTTTTCATATGTTGTCTGTAGGTGTTTTCTATATTCAACCTATGAGGGGAAAGTTTATGTGACGTGGAAGCCGGCTTGGAAGGAAGGCAGTGCTTATAAATACAGACACAGCAGTGCGCACACAGCCTTGTTATATGAATTCAACGCTAAACTCACAGAAAATACCCCATTTCAGAAAATCTCAACTCTCTCTGGCCTAGTTTTAGGAAATTCAAAAGTAACTGGAGAAACTTTCATATCTAACATTGGTAGTGACTAGCTAAATGAATCTAATAGCTGTAGCTGATTCTTCCAACACTGCTAAATGGTGGGCTAGCCAAATGGTGCTTCCTGTTTGAGTCCCATTCTCATTCATAGTCTCTCTCTCTCTCTCTCTCTCTCTCTCTCTCTCTCTCTCTCTCTCTCCCTCTCCCTCTCCCTCTCCCTCTCCCTCTCCCTCTCCCTCTCCCTCTCTCTCTCTCTGTCTCTCTCTCTCTCTCTCTCTCTCATAAGGTCTGACTTTCATACCCCCACCTGGCTTAGAATTCACCATTGAGGAGTGGGCTGGCCTTGAAGTTGCAGTAATCCTCCTGCCTCAGCTTCCTGAGTGCTAGGCTTACAAAAGCAAACCACAATAGCTGGCTACTTTTTCTGTCTTAAAAAAAAAATTATAGTATTCAAAGACTATGCTGGGTGATACAGATGCTGCATTGTTCTCTTGCTAAGAATAGCTTTGAAACATACTTTATTTAAACAGGGTTGTAAAGTCTCAGAGGAAGTGCTTCAGGAAAAAGAAAGGCCAAAATGAAATAAAAAAGCCATAAGCTTTGTAACTCATGGTAAAAGTAGATGTCTCATTTCTCTGCACTGAATCCATGATTTCCAACCTTTATCCAGTGGTTTGCTTTTCTTTTGTACTTTTACTACTACAAAATTTTAGAAGCTTGATCTGAATACACTAAGCTAAGTCAGACAATTCAGATTTTAAGCAGCGTGCCAGGAAGTACTTCTGAATGGCCTTGGACAAACTGAATGTAAAAGACAGGTATAACAGCCTTCCTACTTCATCGAGCAATTCTGAAGGCCAAGTTAGAGGATACATATTGAAGCTATCAATTCATATACCAACCACTACTTGATAATTTTTCCATAAATCCAGGTGATTTACTAAAAATACACCTAGGATAACATATGGCTTAGTGGTTAGGACACTGACTGTTCTTCCAGAAGTTCTGAGTTCAACTCCCAGCGACCACATGGTGACTCACAACCATCTTGTAAAGTAATCAGATGCCTTCTTCTGGTGTGTCTGAAGACAGCTACAATATACTCATATACATAAAATAAATATTTCTTAAAAAAATGACAGCAAAGAAAACAGAGAGATGAAAGATAAGTTAGAAAGTAAAGTTAGCATATGGAAGAAGCATGCCATAAAATCCTTGTGTGTTAGCTAGAGTTAATGTAAAATAAGTACTTCTCATAGCCTAAAAGTATACACAAATCTGCCATAGCCTCACACACAGCATAAGGCACTGTTCCTGAGTTTAGTGATGTATGTTGATGGATGTTTCCATTTTGAAATAGGCTTCTGTAATTCACCTGATGTTTTGATTTTCTTCATTTTCCGGGTTTGTGATACTCTGAAGGAACAATACGAACTGGTCTACAGTGCTGTGTTAGAACTGTTTAAGAGGCACATGGATATCATCTCTGATGATCACTTTGGAAGAGAGGTAACATTTAAATTACATATTATTTTTACCCATATGTTTTTTTGCCAAAGGCTCTCAGATTATTTGCCAGAATTGTGTATAGTCACAATTCTGTATAGTTGAATTCTATATACACAATTGTGTATAGCTGAGTTGGAATGTCAGGCCCTGTCTCAAAGAACAACAACAACAAAACAAAACCAAAACAAAGCAAAATTTAATATATTGTGAGTTCATTGCTAATCTGGTCTACAGAGTGAGTGCCAGGACAGCCAAGGTTACACAGAAAGACCCTTTCTCAAAAACCTATATATGTGATATATACATATCACATAATATATAATATATATCACATATAATATATAAATCATAATATATAATAATAATGTGCCATATATTTGACACATTATGATGTTTTAAGGTAAGTATACATGTGAACTGACTAAATCAAGATAATTGACATATTCATTATATTATTTACTTATAATTTAAGACCTATATTCTTTACAGTTTTCTAATACATAATACATCATTATTAACTGTGGTCATTGTAATTTATAGTAAACCTGAATTTACTCTTTTTATTTAGTTGAAATTTTGTGCCTGATGATGAACATTGTCTCAAAGTCTCCTTCTTACTCCTGATCCTACCATCCTGTGCTGTGCTTCTATGTGTTTACCTTATTTAGCTCAGCACAATGACCTCCAGATTCATCCATGTTGCCAAAAATAACAAAGTATCATTTTTAAATGATACTCTGAATTGAACATAGAGCTTTGTGAATGCCAGATAATTGCTTTAGCACTGAGATGCTCACCAGCTCTGTTTTTCAACTTCTAAGTTTTGAGACAGGGTTTTGATAAGTTGTCCAGACTGGCCTTGAACTGAGTCTCCTAAGCTGAAATTACAAGCCTGTATCACAATACCTGGCACTGTGTGTGTGTGTGTGTGTGTGTGTGTGTGTGTGTGTGTGTGTATGTGACCCTACCTGGCACTGTGTGTACATGTGTAATAGGTGTGCACTCACCATTGCAGATGCTTATAGGGGCCAGAGGTTAACATCAGGATGTTTCCTCAGTCACTTTTCTACCTTATGTTTCTGAGACACATGTCTCATTGAAATTACAACTCTTTATTTTTTACTAGATTGGCTAGCCAGTAAACCCTCTCTCCCCTAGATATAGCTACCTGTTCCCATCTTCAGTACTGGGGTTATAGGTCCATCATGTAAGGGTTATACTTATCTTTTATGAGCTTTCTGGGGGTCTAAACACAGTCCCTCTCCCAGGCCCTTATTTCCTTCTTTTTAAAGCGGGTAATAATATTCCATTGTGAATACATGCCACATTTTCTCTATTCATTTATGGATGGACACCTAGGTTGACTCCATAATTTGTTCATTGTGAATAATGCCACAATAAACGTAAGTATACTACATTAATTTCATTTCCTCTATAAATGCCAGAAATTAAATTAATTACATTTCCCCCATAAATGCCAGAAATTGACCTGATAAATTATACAGTAGTGCTGTTCTTCACTTTTTGAGGGACCACCATACTGATTTTTCATAATATCTATACTAGTTCACATTTCCACCAACAGTATATTAATGTGCTGTTCTCCTATTCTTACTAATGTTGATCTGTTGCTTGCAAATTGTTGCTTGCCTATAGCCCCCCGAGCTGCCCTATGTTCGGGGGCCACTTTGTAATGGCCCATTCTGCTGCTCCAGTCCGCAGGTCAGGGTCTAGCAAGAGAGGGGGGGGGGATGGAGGGGCGAGAGACTTGAAGAATGGAGACAAGACAGAGGGTCTGATCAAATCACTCCTTTATTGAAAGGAAATCCTGGGTATTTATACCCTTAACCACGAGCCTTGCCCTTGTGGACAAGCACAGCTGAAGGCACTACGTCATGTGCCGTGCAGCATGGCTATCTCGTGTGCCTAGCTAGCAGTGTGGAGACTACGTGCCCCTTGCAACTGGCAGTACTAAACAGCAAAACAAGATATGTGAGAAAAAGAAGATGTTTATCAGAGTGTGCTCAGCTGTTGTGGGCTGTTGAAAACAAGTCTCTTGTCAGGGTATATGGCTCCAGATGGCTGCAAAGATGACAGCTGCTTTCTGCTAGGTGTTGGCTCCCAACAGGTCCTCCTTTTTAAATTTGTTTTCAAAAGGAAAGGCTGGGAAAACTTACGGAAACCGTGCCTGTCTTAGGTTGGAACAAAGGACCCCAGCCTCCCTTTTTCATCTCTGGATACTCAATAGCCATTGTTGAGCTCCTGTCTTAGGATGGTGAGGCCTCCCAGTTAGGGGCAAGGGTCTTGAGGTGTTCTCTTACCCGTCATTGACTATCTGGCTTAGTGCGTAAGTTAGGGATTAATCCTCCTCAGTCTTGATGACAGAGGTTTTAGAGTTCCCTACTTCCAGCCTGTAATAATGGACCTGTATGGGTTTCATTTGAATAGCATCTATCTGTTGTTGTACAAAAGCCATCAGTCTGTTGAACACCATGGACCCAAGAGACAAGAGACTTAACAATGCCTGAATGGTTGGTGTAAACCATTCTGCCTCAGAGCGACACTCTTTTTTAAGGGTAGCACACAACTCTCTCTGTTGGAGGAGTAAAAGGTATAAGCCTCTTCTATTCTGTAGCACTATTTCAGCTAAGGAGTGTAATGAATTCTACAAATGCAATATAGCAGATACTATTTTTTCTAAATCTAAATCTGTATAAGTAAAAAACTGATCATAGCTTTTAACAAAACAAGTAAGGAAATCCCCATCCCTGCCCAAGTCAATCCTAAACCCCAAAAAATAACTATAGTAACTGTGGTAATGGGTTCTCTCTTGGATCTAAACAATGTACCCCACTAAATCATAAATCAGGGAACCAAGAGTCTAATAGAGCCACCCTGGAGGTGCAGGTGGTAATGTCTTCTTCTGCACTGAGAACTTCCCAAGTCAGGTATGCTGGTTGATCCGCTCTGGTTTGAAGACAATTGTGAAACATCTTCATGTTTCCTGCAAAGAAAAAATACACTTCTCAGGAGGTTTCTCCTCCTGGATTTGTTATTGTTATCTATCTGTTTAATTAGTCTCTCTGGCAGCCAGTATGTGGCATCTGCAGTTTGGGAATATATGCAAATATAACCTCTTCCCCAGATAAGCACTGGATCTGGTCCATTCCAGGTTCCAGTTAATCGGTCTTTGCAGAGGACTGTTGCAAAATTCTTTTTGGTATCAGGATGGCAGAATCTATCTGCCCCATAAGCCTGTTTTGTCTTGTGTTGGCTCAGGGCCTGGGGCTGGCTCCTGTTCCTGTTTATCTGATTATGGGAAAGGGTGTTTCTTTGTGCATCTGTCTTGGACCTACATTCATTAGCCCAATGCCTTCCATGTTTGCAATGTGGGCATAGGCCAGGCTGTTTTCTGGGCTGTCTCTGGGTTAACTCATTTTCTGCTTTGCAATATTTTGCAAAGTGTGCAGGCTTGCCACATTTAAAACAGGTCTTTTTGTCTCTGCTTGCCAAAAAATCTCTGATTGTCCTTGCATGACAGCTGTCATAGCTAAGCCCTGTTGGTAGGAGGGCCCTATGTCAGAACAGAGTCTGATATACCCAGTAAGGTCTGTCTTTTTCCTGTAGGGTCTAATGGCCACTTGGCAGGCAGGATTGGCATTTTCATATGCAAGTTGTTTCACATAATCTACACCTGCCTCTGCATTACCAAAAATCCTCCCTGCTGTTGTCATTAATCGATGAACAAAATCAGAAAATCGTTCGTCAGGCCCTTGTCTGACTGCTGTCAAAGATGCACCAGGGTATCCCTTAACCGGGAGTTTATGCCAAGCCTTCATGGCCACGTTTTGAATTTGAGCGAATAAGCTTGGGTCATATTGCATCTGGTTATCACTAGAAGCAAATTGCCCTTCTCCTACTAAAGCATCAAAGGACCAACCATTGCCTGCCTGAATTTTTCTCCTAGCTGTCTCTTTACAATTCTCATGATACTCTGATTTCCAAATAAGATGGTCACCACTGCTAAGAACTGCTCTCACTAGAGTATTCCAATCACCAGGAGTTAGCCACTCCTCTGCAACAGATTCTAAGATTGCAAGAGTAAAGGGAGCAGTGGCACCATATTGTGACACTGAATTTTTTAATTCTTTAATAATTTGAAAATTAAACCCTGTGTGATGTCTCCATGCAACCCCTTGAGCATCTCTAGTTTCTGATACAGGGAAAACCTCAACCTTTCCCTCCTCTGGCTGATCTGTGGCTGAGCTAAAACCAGAGGACAGGGGCTGTCTTTGGACTCTGGGTTGAGGAACTTGAGGACCTGAGGGATTTTCCTTGCCCTCTCGAGTCCTCTTCCCTGTCTTTAATTTTTGTAGCTGATTAATTAAGTCCTGATACTCTTTTCCTAACTCTATTTATTGTTTAAGAAGAGAAATTTGTTGTTTAAGAAAAGAAAATTTGTCCTGCAACTCCTTTCTGGGATCTACAACACCTATCCCCATAGTGGAAGCATCTGGAGGTGGAGGAGCACAGGGAAGGGGTCTTCAGGAACAGGGCCATTCAGGGTCATAATATTTGGCTGCCTCTTCCTCTAGGTCAGCACAATCTGGCTCTGACAAATCGATTACTTCAACCTTTGGTCCTATTTTGGATTCTATGGTTTTCTTTTTCTTTTGAACATGAAAGACAGCATTTAAACAGTGAAACAAAATAGGGACTCTTTAATTTCTATTACTGATTCAATTGCCTTACTAGCTAATTTCTATTTATATTTGCTATTTGTTCCTTAACCAGTTTTTGTATGATGAGTATCTCCAAGATCTTAACCATTCTATCTAGGTTATTCAATTTGTTAGTATGCAATATATGTGATACTTCTATGTAGTTGTTTATAGAATTTTAACTTTTTTGTTTCCACAGATTGTTAGTAATAGCCATATTTTCATCTTGTGTGTGAGGGTGCATGTGTAGATATGTGAGCATGTTAATGATCATAAGCACATGTATGCATGTGAAGGTCAAAGGTCAACTTCAGGTGTCATTCCTCAGAAGCCATAAACCTTGTTTTGAGATAGTCTCTCACTGGGCCTCAGGTCACTGAGCAGGCTGGTCTAGCTACCAGAAATCCCAGGGGTCCTCCGTCTCCACCTCTCTAGTCCTGGGATTTCAGGTGTGTTATGCCCTGCCAAATTTGTTTTGTGTTTATTGAGGGGCCTATGCTGGGAATTGAACTTAAGTACTTTACCAAATATACTGTCTATCCAGGTCTTGCATTTTTACCTTTGATTAATAATTTGAATTTTTTCCTTAGTGTGCCTAAAGCCTAATCAATTTTGTTGGTCTTTTTAATTTGTTCACTTTATCCATTTTCCTATTCTCTAGTTCATTTATGTCTGCTTTAATTTTTAGTACTTCCTTGTTGTTGCTAAGTTTGAGATTGATTTTATTCTCCCTCCACCTAGTTCCTTAAAATGTAAAGTTATGCTGTTCATTTGAGATCTTTCTTTATAAAGCAAATGTATCATTTATTTTATATCAACTCATGTAAGCTAAGTAAACATTGATTTATATTTCTATTAATTCTTTAAGAATTTATTACAATATATTTTTGATTATTTTGCCCTGGCTTCTCCCCCTAATTCTTCCCAGAACTACCACCCATCTCTCTACCCCTTCCTAACTTCATGCCTTCTTCTTAAAAAACAACCCACCAACTCTAGTTTGTGTTACTAATATACTCATGGGTGTGGGGCCAACCACTGCAGTAAGGTTGACCTACCAGGGGCTACACCCTTAATAAAGCCCTGACTCCCACCCCCCCGAAGCCATCGACTGTCATAGCAACTCAATTAAGAGTGGGTATTATTGAGCCCATCCCCCAGACATGTTTGAGTGTCAAATGGCTTAGTTTTATGAAGGTCTTTTTTTTTTTTTAAGATTTATTTATTTTATGTATGTGAGTACACTGCAGCTGTCTTCAGACACACACCAGAAGAGGGCATCAGATCCCATTACAGATGGTTGTGAGCCACCATGTAGTTGCTGGAAATTGAACTCAGGACCTCTGGAAGAGCAGTCAGTTCTTTTAACCTCTGAGCCATCTCTCCAGCCCCTATGGAGGTCTTATACAACTGCTTGATTTCATGAATGAAGTAGTTTTGTCACGTCCAGAATACAGTTTCAGTCCAGTCCTCGCTGATCTTTCTTTTCTGTTCCCTTTTCCATGATGGTCCCTGTGCCTTGTGGGGGGTGGGGGGGCAGGTATTACTTCCCAGTCTTCCAAATATTAAAACATTTCATTGACATTGCTTCATGAAAAACAAGCCAAAACAAAACAAACGCACAAACAAAAACCTCTGACATTTCTTTTGAAGATTCAAGCAGAATGCTCAATTCCTGAACAAAACCTCACTATAGAAACTGACTCTTGTCCTCTGGATTTTCCAAAAAAGTGAGTAAATTTTGCTTATCTAAATGTTGACTAACTGTGCCTAAAGGATGAAATCTCATGTTCCAGTTACTATGCTACTGGAAGAGACCTCTTCTCGGTATGGCATCATCATTCTGTCCTTTTGTTTCAGTGCCATGAGAGATGCAAAAATGACAAACTCGCAGAGCAAACAAAGGCCTGAAGCAGAGAGCACCCAAGTGTCTTCCTTTGGCCTTAGGATTTCTAAGATAAGCACCAAGGAAGAGTTGGTTTTGCACTCGGCTAAATCAAGCCCTTCTCTGAACTGTTTAGAGCTAAACCCTGGGTGTAACAGCAAGGCTGTCATAACCAGGAATGGGCAGGCAAGGGCTTCTCCAGTCATGGGAGAGCCCCTCCAGAAGTACCAAAGTCTAGATTTTGGTTCCATGTTTGGGTCGTGTTCTAATGTTCTGCCCGTAAACACAGCGGGCAGGTGTCATAATTCAAAGGGGCCAGTAAAACGGACCAAATCAACTCCTTTTGAACTGATTCAGCAGAGAAAAACAAACGAGTTGGCCGTGGAAGACGGTTCTTCATGCTTGGAATCTCAACTGCATGAGCACTGTCTCATGGAGGTGCAAAGAATGGCTCATGCTTCTTCAGAAGAACTGAATTATTCACTGCCGCGTGCCTGTGAGCGCCCGACGTGTGATGCCACTTGTGTACCGCAGCACAGCCCTGGCGCTCCGAGAGTGCATTTGTGCATGTCTTTAGCGGAAGATTCTTATTTTTCATCATCCCCTCCAAATAGTGCTGATTCTAAGATGTCTTTTGATCTGCCTGAGAAACAAGATGGAGCCACTTTTGACGCTCTGTTGCCAGCCTCTTCAACCTCCTTTTCTTATTACAACCCACATGATTCTTTACTGGCGAGCACTCTGACCAGCTTTTCCCCACCATTAAACCAAGAGACAGCTATAGAAGGTAAGTTATTTTTTAAAATTTGTTTGTTTTGGACCTTGCCTGGTTTCCATTAAATATTTTGGTTTCTTCTCACCCTAGCCCTCCTCCTCCTCCTTCTCCTCCTCCTTTTCCTCCTCCTTCTCTTCCTCCTCCTCCTCCTCCTCCTCCTCCTCCTCCTCCTCCTCCTCCTCTAAAGAAATAAGTTCTGGGAGTGTTTTGATGGTGTCCTAAATAAATTGATGATAACAGTGCTGCAGTCAGTCAGATCTGAGGACCCATCTATGCCAACAGGAAGGCTTCAAACATGGCCAATCCTTATTCCAGACTTGTTTACCAAAAGCCCATAATTTACCTTTAACATGCAAAAGGAGCTTCCCAACTACAGAGGAAAAACTTATCAACAGCACTGTGTGGTCACCCAGAAATAGTTGTTACACACTTATGTACCTGTAAGGAGTTGAACACACTGTTAAGCATTGAATTCTTTTCCTGTAGGAGTGGGGAGAGGAGGCCTGCTATCCTGTACTTTTGCAGTGTCTAAGTAGATGAGAATGTGTTTAGTATTGTGTGATTGTTTTTAATCTTTTAATACATTCATATTTATCTCTTATCATTCTAGATTTTTTACATATCAAATATATTGATTTAACTGAGTAGTTAGAAAATCATAGTGAACCTACTGTTAGAGATTATTATAGAGTATTTCTTTCTTTGCCTTTTTCTTTTTAGTAAAGTGGATTAAACCTAGTGCCTCATGCATGTCAGGCAGGTTTTTAAGTTGAATCTGCAGCCCTAATAATTTGATGTTGAAGATGAAGGAAGCAAAGAGCAAGTTTAATTATCTTAGGCATATCACAAGAAAATCCATGGAGAGCATTTATTTAGAAAGTATAGAAACCTATTGTTCTATAACATTATTAGATGTCTTTTTTGTCTTTTTTTTTTATGTCATGAGGGCTTGAATCCAGTCAGCTAGGAAAGAGCTCTGTAACTGAGAGTTATAGCCCCAGCCCATGTCTCTTTCTTTTCTCTTTTCTTGATTTAGATAAGGTTACTACCCAAGCTGACCTGGATTTCATAGAGGTCAGGCTGATCTACAACTCACAGCAGTCCTGCTTCTGATTCCCAGAAGTTGCTGGGATTAGTTTCTTTCTTTCTCTCTCTCTCTCTCTCTTTCTCTCTCTCTGTCTCTCTCTCTCTGTGTATGTGTGTGTATACATGTGTAGGTATACATGTGTAGGCCAAATGAAGATCTCATGTGAATTTCTTTATCACTCTCTACCTTTTGACTTTATGATGAGGTCTTGCTGAACTCAGAGCTTGCCTCTCACTGTCCTGCTCCAGGCTGATGACTAGCGAGCCCTTGTCTCTGCTCCTTCTCTTCCAGTGCTGGGTTACAGGAACAAGGGCTACTCAGACTTTGTGTGTGGATACTGGGGATCTGAACTCGGGTGTTCATCTTCACGCAGCAAACATTCTTACCCACTAAGCCATCTCCCCAGCCCTAAGTGTTTTTGTTTTTTTCCTATTTTAGTTTTCTTTTTCTCAGACAGGGTCTCATGTAGCCCAGGCTGGCTTCAGATTCTCTACATAAACAAGAATGACTTAGAACTCTTAATGATAAATATGTGCTATTAAAATCTAGCAAGTTTGATAGATGAAAATAATTTGTTGCAAAAATTTTTTTATCTGGTTCTGAGAAGGTTCTTCTTTGATCTAATTCTTTTGCAGTTTAATCATTAAAATTTAAGAAATTTTGTTTTTCTCTTTTGTGTGTGTGTGTGTGTGTGTGTCTGTGTGTGTGTGTCTGTGTGTGTGTGTGTGTGTAGGTCAGAGGTGACTGGCAGAAGTGAGGTTTCTCCTTCTACCATGTGATTACAGGGACTTAACTCAGGTTTTCAGGCTTGGTAGCAGCAAGTACTTTACCCACTGAGCCACTTCACCATCTAATGTTTTCTTTTTATAAATAGCCATAATATTTTAGACTTCTTAAAGCATCAAAAATAACAAGTTATTTTCATATTGTAGCAAAATTGACACATCTGCCATCTGGTGGCAGTTTCTTATAATGGCATGTAAAATGTTTCCAAATTCTGTTTCAAAAGTATTATCAGACAGAGAACCCTGCCCGAGATCTCTAGTCCACTTCCACTCCCAGAAGTTTCTTCTCTTTCTTGATAAACTACATCTACTTCTGTAACAAACATCGATAGTTTCGGGTTATGTATGGAAAAAAGAAAGGATGTTTTGTTTTTGTTTTTGTTTGTTAAGAGAGGGTTTCTCTGTGTAGCCCTTGCTGTCCTGGAACTCACTTTGTAGACCTGGCTGGCCTGGAATTCAGAGAACCAATCCACCTGCTTCTGCCTCCCAAGTGCTAGGATTAAAGGCATGTGCCACCACTATCCAGCAAAAAAGGAATTTTAAAAATATCTCCTGCATAGATGAATGCTTAGCTGATGAAAATGTTCTATTGTGAATTCAATGGAAAGCAAAAGGAAAGAGTTGTGTAGAAGATAATCCAAACCATCCTAACAACACCTCCATCAGAATGTGTGGGCACGCTTAAACCTTTACATCCAGTAAAGAATTCCAAAGGATAAAACTTTACTAATTTATTCTTTTTCCTAGAGTAAGCAAATACAAATCTGTTAAATTTATATTTAGGATTAGATTAGAATGTAAGAATCTCCTTTATTCTCATCAAAAAATTGTGATTATATTTCTGTTACTTGGATAGCTACTTCTTCAAGGACAGATGATGAAATCCCCCCACCACTCCCTGAACGGACACCTGAGTCTTTTATTGTGGTTGAGGAAGTCGGTGAGTACAGTTCAGTAAGTATGACATGTGTGTCCCTTCTCAGGTCCCCTCAGCACTCTGTATGCTGCTGCCGAACACCCATCTGCCTCCTCTAAAAACAACCTCCTTCCTAAGAACTTGCCATATTTGCTTTCTTGTAGGTCAGCCCTCACCAAGTGTTACCGAATCCTTACCTCTGGTGGTAAAATTTGGAGCATCACTGGAATGCAGTGGGACATCTGAACTGAAGATCCATGACTGTGTGGAGTTTCCACCGAGCAAGGTTTGTAACTTTTTCTCTGACTCAATTCATTTGTATTCAACAGACTATAATTTTTTTCTACACATTTAATTTTTTTAGACATACTTATTTTATTTTAGGTGTAAGAATGTTTTGCCTGTATGTATGCCTATGTACCACATGTGTGTCTTGTGCCTGCACAAGTCAAAAGAGAGCATGGGATCTTCTGGAACTGGAGTTGCGGAGGGTTGTGAGCCACCATGTGAGTGCTGGGAACTGAACCCAGGTCCCCTGCCAGAGCAACAAGTGCTCTAACTGCTGCGCACTCTCTCCAGACCTTTCTCTTCATTTTGACAACTGTCATCCAATACTTAAGTAGATCCTTATGTAAAGCAACATGCCAGAGGATGTGAGGGACAGGAAAGATATACAGGGCATGTTTCTTACTCTTATGAAATTTACATTGGAAGTACACGATGTGTATATGAAGCTTTATGTTTATTATATCAGGATCATAAATCAATGATCTGTGAAATATACAGAGATTTAAAGAACATGGAAGCTTTTTCAGGTTGAAAGTAATGAGAAAAGCCCAGTGAAAGAGAAAACATTTGAGCTAATTCTTAATAGACAGTTAAGGCAAAAGCAAATCAAATGTTTCACAAGTAGACAAATTATTCACTGTAACCACCTCATGGGCTAATCATCTTAGCAGTGAAATCACAGACAGCAACTTTTAATGACATGTGCATATGACTTAAGATGAACCACTTGGAATAATGTCAGTCTAGAGGAAAAAAAAATCTGTGTTCCTGAAAATCTGCTATACATTTCTATATATTCTTTGAACCAACTATGTAAGTATATACATTGGTTTCAGAGACCAAACAATTAATCACTTAGAAGTTTCTACAAGGCTGTGGATGTGGCTTAGTGTTAAGCATTTGTCTAGTACTGTAAGAGTTTAGGTTTAATCCCCAGTACTGAATTTAAAAAATAGCTCTTATAATTGTGATGCTGTAAAATTGCAATGTTAACATACTGTTGTTACAATTACAATTAATTGTATGCATACAAATAATGGTCTTTTTCTTAATTCACATAGCAAAGAACAATTAGCCCTTTTCAGTATCATAAAGCAATTACAATTTCAACAACTTATCTCCAAATAAATTTTTAGGGCAATGTTCTAAATTATGAAAGAAATAATTCATAAGGCAATCAATTTAGAACTAATTTCCATATGATATAAAACTATCGAAATCACTGTAAGAGTTAAGGGTTCCTTTTTATAATTCAGCACAGTTACTAATTAAGAAATACTGCTGTCACTATAGTAAGATGAACTATAATTTTTAAAAATGTTATTTATTGCTTTGAGCTTGTATTGTTTTTGTACATATTATTCTTTCACTTTTTTCCTATTTAGAATGTGAAACTCCGAAGTCCCAAATCAGGTAAAGACTTCTCTTGCCTTTAGATGACATTTAGTCCTAAGGACTTGTGTTGTAAGAACAGCTTGTTAGTAATTCATGTCAGGAGGATTCATGGTTTCTGTAATAGCTTCTGCTATCTTGATTTATTTTTGGCTTTCCCAAACTAACGATGTCTGTTTTGTCATGGGCAAAGTAAAGGCATGATTTTTTTAAAAAATTGTTTCAGATAGAATATTTTAAAATTCAAATAGTCAAAACAATCTTGTGTAAATGAAACAAAATAAAACAAACAAACAAACAAACAAACAAAATGAATAAAAAAAAGCAGAAAACTATACTATCCAACTTCCAACTACACAAGCTGGAGAAACCAGAATATCGAGGTAACAACATGAAAAGAGACACACTCAAAACAGAAGAACAGGATAAATATCTCAGATGTAAACCTACATGTACTTCTATAGACAACCGACTCTTGATAAAGATGTTATGAACACACATGGGAAAAAGGATAGGGTTTTCAACAAACGACTCTGAAAATTTGGTATCATTATGTATAACAAAGCTGGGCTCCTAACTCTCACCACTCTCAAAAACAACCCAATATCTACTAAAGATTTAATTATAAGTCCTGGAACTATGACATGCCAGAAGAGAAACTTCAGGACTTTGGAATTGGTGAGAACTTTTTTGAACAAGAGATTAAAACAAAACAAACAAACAAAAACTCAACAACAACAACAAAACACAAGGAAACAAAAGTAAGAATAGACAAGTGAAATTATTCCAAATAAATGGCCTCACACAACAAAGGCAACGATCTTCGCCTTTAATTTTGAAAACCTTTGTGTATTATGCATCTGACAAGCACAGCTGTGCTCAACATTACCTTTTTTTTTTAGATATATTTATTTATGTATATGAGTACACTGTTGTTTTCTTTAGATACACCAGGAAGGAAAAGGCATTGGATCCCATTACAGATGGTTGTGAGCCACCATGTGGTTGCTGGGAATTGAACTCAGGAACTCTGGAAGAGCAGTCAGTGCTCTTAACGACTGAGCCATCTCTCCAGCCCTTCAACATTTCTTTAGTGATTCAAATTTTATTTTATTTTTTTTATTGTGTGTGTGTGTGTGTGTGTGTGTGTATGTGCGTTCTAGCCAAGGTTTCTCTGTGTAGTTCTGGCTGTCCTGGAGCTTGCTTTGTAGACCAGGCTAGCCTTGAAATCGGAGATCTGCCTGCTTCTGCAGTTGGGAAGCAAAGGAAGATAAATGCTGGTGCCCAGCTAGCTTTTTCTTTTTTATTCAGTCTGAAACCCCAGCACATGAAATAGTGTACACCACAGTTAGAGTATTTCCTGCTGTTAAGGCCTAGGTAAAATATTAAGGCCTAGATAACAGTTACTTGGCTAGCCTGCCATTATAAAGAAATTTTCTCATATGTTTCTGTGGTTATTAAGGAACTTTCTAAGGCCAATATTGATTACATATTTTGTTATGTTCTGTGCCCTTGGTAACCAATCATGCTAAAAGTCAACAGGACTGTATTATATAGTTACCCACAATAAGCCTGGACCTGAACCAACCACCCAACAGCACTTCCTGTACCTCTACATAAAGTTTTATGATATAAGCTGCCCTTGAGATAGACCTCAACATAAAAGAGACACCTGCACCAATATAAGAAACTATTTGGAATAAGATTTCCATTTTGAATGGTTGGTAACTTGAACATTTACAAGAGACTAGGATGGCTGTGAGTTAGCCCAATGACGGGATTATTGTAGGTCCACTTCCCAGGGGCCCACCCAATGCAGCCGAAAAGGAGTGCGTGGTGCTGGGAGTGGGTGCAGCCTACATGGCCTAAGACAGGGCTCTCACCCTCCTTTCACCCACATCAGAGTCCCTTGACGTTGCCCATCGTCGACAGCCTAAAGCCTTCGACCATCGATGTGACTCGTCTCACATCAGTGTTTTGGGGTTGTGAACTTGTCTAAGACCCCCCATAATTAGACATCCAAATTCAAAACTCACATAGTTGGGATTGAACATAAGACGCCTTCTCTAACTAAACAGAGAAGGGGGAGATGCCAGAAGCCAGGACCCTCGCCCTTACCCTTACCCCCTACCTTTCCCCACCTGCACAATGTCCTCTGAAGCTTGGCAACTGCAAGATCCTGCTTAGCAACTGCAGATAGACTCAAAGCAGAGTACCATGTCTTCTTAAGAATAGCAGGGAGGGGGCTGGTGAGATGGCTCAGTGGTTAAGAGCACTGACTGCTCTTCCAGAGGTCATGAGTTCAAATCCCAGCAACCACATGGTGGCTCATAACCATCTGCAATGAGATCTGATGCCCTCTTGTGGGGTGTCTGAAGACAGCTACAGTGTACTTTAAATAAATAAGTAAATAAAGTTTAAAAAAAAAAAAAAAAAGAATAGCAGGGAGACCATAACTCAAGCAGTGTACCATATCTTCTGAAGAACTGCAGGTAGATCATAATTCAAGGCAGTGTACCATATAGACCATGACATGTTTCAAGGCACAGGCCAAGAAGATTTTGTACTTTTCCACCACCTGGACCCTCTTACCCCCTCCCCTTGTAAAACATGCTATAAAAAAGCATTTCATGTTCAAAAAAAAAAAAAAGATTTCCATTTTGAGTAGTAGTCCAGTAAAGTTTCAGTTCCCAATATCTCCCTGGAAACTGACATCCTACCTGGCAGACAGAGACATGTACATGGGTAACTGACACCCTGGTTGACAAGTTAAGACATAAATGTTAGAGAAGTCTCATCCTGGTAGACAAATTAGGACATGAATATTAGACAAAGCAAGTCCCCTGCCACAGTTGAATACTCCAACCAATGGGAGCAAGATAAATGAACAACAAAGATATGTTCCTAAGGAAATTCCCTATTCCTATTGGTGAAATAACTGGGCATAGATGTTTGTGGTTTGGGGGCTTAAAAATCTTGTAGGATCTTAACTCAGGGTCATGGCTCAGCTCCTGAATTTGGACCATGACCCTGGTTGGCCAGTATGTATGCTCAATAAACTATCCCTGTCTGACTGAGATCAGTGACCATGTAGTTTGTGAGGCGATTCCTGGACCTCGACACTCCCTCAGTTAGCTCACCATTCTTTAACAGGCATGCCCAAAGATTCATTTCCATGGGGACTCTAAATACCATCAAGCTGACAGTCAAGACTAATTATCATAGTTCGACCCCACGTCACCTGGACACCTAAACATTACTTTAAAGACATCTCCTCCCCCTCTTCATCCCCATGGGCTCATGCTCATCTCATAAGGCAAAATGCATTAGGTCCAATTCCTTTTGATCAAACCCCTACCCTTCCCAAGAATGGTCCCATGGTCTTTAACAGTTCGAATATTCTTTATAACAGTATGTTCAGAGTCTTTTCTGAGGCTCAGGCACTCTTAATTATAGGCTGCTATAATACATACATACATACATACATACATACATACATACATACATACATACATATATATATTACATTATATACTTTGAAATATTCAACAGGAAAGAATATTCTCACTCCAAAATGGAGGAACGGGAACATAACAAAAAAAGATAGGGTGAGCGCAAGACTGAAACCCAGCAGGGGAAACACGGAGTCCTGCTGCTCTGTACCCAGCATTTACAGCTCATGATAGAATCATCTGGCTCCACAGGTAGCCCCTTCTCTCCAGCTCTGCTGCCTGGAGCACATGTAATCCCGCTCTCAGGTGAGATCTACTTTTGTATGCAGCCTTTCTCAGCAGGCCTTTCATGGTCCTGACATGCTCCATTCTAAGTGAGGCTTCACTACAGCTCTCCACAGTGGCCTCTTGCATGGACATGCCAAGAAGTTTACTTCCGTGTTAGTCTAAATCTCATCAACTGGTGAAATTATGAGTTTGAGGCCAGCCTGGTATATACTTTAAGACATAACCTCAAAAAAACCCCTGAGGGATAGAAAGGAAGAAAAGAAGAGGTGAAGGGAAGAAAGGAGGAAAAGAAAAACAAAAGGGAAAATTTTCAAAATATTACTGCATGAACCAGAAATTCCACCATTGAGTGTATGTGCAAAGAACATGTAGACAAATAGACACTTGTACTTACATATTCCCAAAAGCACTATCTGCAACAATTAAGAAACACCATCTATATGCCATCAAATTATTCATAGCTTAGAAAATGTGATATCATTCAGCAAGAAAGAGGATGCAATTCTGTCATGTCTGACAACATGGATAGGACTGGAGATCACTACGCTAAATGAAACAAGCAAGGCACAGAGAGACAAGTATTCCATGATCTTGGTCATATGTGATATATATAAAAGGTCGATCTCACAGACGATCAGAGTATAGTGATTGCCAGATGGAGGAGAGATCAGTAAAGCTGAGCATTGGGCACTGAGTTACCAGTCGGAGGAAGGAGATCTAGTACGTTGTTGTGTAGCTCGGAGACTATTCGAAGCTTTTCACTATTCATTTCTAAAGGTTGTAAAAAGGGACTTCTAATTTTTCGCTATAAATGAAAAGTGTTTGAGTAAACATGTTTAACTTGATTTAATATTATAAGATGTGTACATGTATTGAAATATATTATATTACCATTTTAATGTTTTATATAATTTATCTTAAAAGAATTTCAATAAGCCAGTCATGGTGGAATACATCTTTAATCCCATTTGGGAGGCAGAGGCAGGAAGATCTCTGTAAATTCGAGGCCAACCTGGTCTACAAAGCTAGTTCCAAGACAGTCAGTGCTGTTACACAGAGAAAGGCCTCTCATAACCATCTATAGTGGGATCTGGTGCCCTCTTCTGGCATTCAGGCATACATGCAGACCGAACAATCACACGTAAAATACGTAAAGAAATCTTTGAAAAAAAATAATTAAAAAATTAATAACATTTTCAGTTTATAGATTTTTACTATTGTTAACAGTGATTCTAAACAATTATGTCTGGCACTTAATAAATTCTCTTCGTTTTATTTTGTGCATGGATGTTTGCCTGCATTTATGTCTGTACATCATATGTGCAGTGCTCAAGGAAGCTGGAAGTGGATGTTGAAGCCCCTGGACTGGAATTACAGATGGTTGTAAGATGACATGTAGTGCTGGGAATTGAACCTACATCCTCTGGAAGGGCAACCAGTACTCTTAACTGTACCCACTTCAAAAGAAACTTGTTATTGCTTTTATTTTTTCTGAGTTTGTTTATATTATATACTTATATTATATATTATTATATACTTTATTATATACTGAACAAAACTGGATAACGGCTATGGGGAATACACAGGTATTTTTGCATATAGCACAATCTGTAGTTGTCATTAGCATATTTATTCATATTATCATATTACTCAACAAAATTTATGTATATGTGATATTTAAAAGCATGAGCTTTTGGAGCAGTCTGTGATTTGAAACCACCAATCTACTAAGACTTACCACAATATATAACCTCAATTAAAGAATGAATTTTCTGAGGGCTGGGCATGATGGTATATGCCTTTAATCCCAGTACTTAGGAGGTAAAGTCTTTGTGAGCTCAAGGCTAACCTGGTCTGTATAGCAAATTCCAAGCCATAAGGGACTATATACTGATTCTCAGTCTCAAAAAGCAAAGTAATTTTCTGAGACAGGCATAGTGGCTTACATCTATAACCCCAGCACTTAGGAAGCTGAGGCAGAACTGCTGAAAGTTCAAGGTTACCCTTGATTATAGAGTGAGACCCCATTTCAGTAAAACAACAGAAATGCATGGCTTAGTGGGTAAGAACACTGGCTGTTCTTCCAAAGGTCCCAGGTATGGTTCTCAGTACCCACATAGTGGCTCATAACCACCCATAACTCCAGGTTCTGGGGTTCTGACTTTTTTAGACAACAGGCGCGCGCGCATGCACACACACGCACACACACACACACACACACACACACGCAGACTGTCTCAGTCACTGTTCTATTGTTGTGAAGAGACTCCATAACGAAGGCAGCTCTTATATAAGAGAGCATTTAACTGGGGGCTTGCTTATAGGTACATTACCATGGTGGAAGCATGGCCACATGCATGGTGCTACAGCAGTAGACAAGATCTGCATCCTGATCCACAGGCAGCAGGCGGGGGGGGGGGGGGGGGGGGGGGCGGGGAGACTTACTGGGCCTGGATTGGGCTTTTGAGACCTTGAACCTAGTGACACACCACCTCCCACAAAGCCATACCTCCTCCAACAAGGCCACCCCTCCTAAGCCATCCTTAACAGTTCCTCAACTGGGGACTAAGAATGCAAATATATGAGCCGATGTATTCAAACAAAGGCGAGAGAATAAAATACATACATAAAATAAATCTTTAAAAATACATATTCTTTAAATTCTTTAAATTGTTGATTTTCTCATTTATGAAATATGGTTCATATAACTCTTTTGTTGATTTTTTTGTGTGTGTGAAATTGAGATAATGTATTTAAAGTTTTTAGCACAGTGTGACCAAATAACCCTCATTAAATATTTTCCAGATATGAGGATAGGCAGGATATATAAGAAAAAATAGTACCTTTTCCTTCTCTCTCTTCCTTCATTTCTTTCTTTCTTTCTTTCTTTCTTTCTTTCTTTCTTTCTTTCTTT